AGAGAGAGAGAGAGAGAGAGAGAGGTTCAACACATTAGTCCAGAGCTGTAGACACAGGGAACTCAGGAAAGACAACCCCTCAGGCACAGTAATGGGAGTAGTGCTATCATGAGGGGAGGGGGGTGGCCAGGGAGGGGGAGGGGGAGAAAAGGGGGACCCATCACAAGACTGTATGCATACCCCCCTGCAAAGGGAATGAATAACAGAAATGTGGGTGAAGGGAGACAAGGACAGTGTGAGATACGAGCTAACAATGACAATATATCATTGCTCAAGGGTCTCAGAGCGGGGAGGGAGGGGGGAAAAGAGGAGTTTATATCAAGGGCTCAAGCTGAAAATGTCTTGGAAACGATGATATGTTCCCATATGTTCCATATGTACATACGTTGCAACATATGTACAGACATGCTTGATACAATTGATGTATGGATTGTTATACGATTGTTGTAAGAGCCCCCAATAAAATGCTGGTGGGGGGAGTTTGTTCATTCGTTTTTATTATGATGTCCCGTTCACCTGTAAAAACCTCTGTGCCTCCCACTGCTGATCACCATCTGAGCCGCTCTCAGAGTGGAGCAATTGAGGATAAGATTGCTGAGAAGATCCTTGCAGGGCATGCGTGCTCGTATACAACACACGTCAACAGAATATACAAATAGGAGCTAAGCCCAAGTTCTACATTTACAATCTCAGCCCGGAAGGCAGGAGAGGAACTCCTAGTTGATTTCATTTGTAGGCTGCAGCATGGATTTTGTGATGGTCCACAAGCAGTCAGGTGGGTGTACCAGACCCACCCTGCTAGAGGAGGAGGGATCTAGGGCGTCGGGAAATTAGCATATGGGAGTGGCTTCATCAGGACAGACCGGCATGGTGTGCTCAGGGACAGGCCTTGGCCCCCAGCGGTGAGGACAGGTTTGTGAAGGGACTCCCCACATCTCTGAAGACTGCGGTGATTGCCATCTTAGGCATTGGACGGTTACAGTCAGGCTGAGGGAGCCCACAGCGGGAGGGTCGGCAGGCCAGGTGGGTGTGGTGGCCACGGGGACAGCAGTCACTAAACTAGCCTGACACGTACTGACTTATGGCATTGGCTGCTTATGCAAAGTGTCCCCAAGACCGAACTAGAGGGGAACCCTACCAAAGGAAGGGTTCTAGGTCAGGTGGGTGGCAGTCTAACTCAAATCACCAAATAGAGAGTCGCAACCCCTCAAGAAATCCCCAGACTTGAGCCCGTTTGTAGACCCACAACTCCTTGACTGAAGGGGAGCATGGGTCTGCTAGGTAGCAGGATAGGGGTGGCTCCTCTCCATGCCCACTGGCCCCCTGCAGGAGGTTGGAAGCCAATGCAGGCTAAAGGGGCATGCGCCAGTTCAGACCCCTGAGCCAGGTGAGCTTAATTCAGCCAATGGGGTCAACCAGTACCTCATTGACCACGCCTCCCAGCGAGAGCCCCCCCAAAACTGGAACCTGGAGACCACCGCCCTCTTTCCAGCTGCTCCTCTGCCTTCCGCCATGCCGTGCCACGGTCTCTCTCTCTCTCTCTGGCCTTAGGTCACCGCGTGTGGGTATGCAGTTCCGCGTTCAGCGACTGTAACACCTGAAACAGCTTCTGTCCTTTATGAAAACCCACTCCGATCACACACCTGGCTTCGGCGTGAATTCTTTCTCGTGCGAAGCCAAGAACCGAGGTATTCCCCACCCGGGAAACCTAATAGGTCCCTTTGAGGAAAGGCCTCACTACTCCCCCCCCCCGCCCCCCAACACTGTGTACAGTTGTCTTTCTTCTGGTCTCCCCGAGGGATGCATGGCGTGTTTCAAGAATGACCGTTCACTGGGGGAAAGGAAATCATCAACCCTTTCAGGGATTACTGGACACGGGCTCTGAACTGACGCTGATTCCAGGAGACTCACAAGGATCTGAAGACCCACCAGTCAGTGTGGGAACCACTGGGAGCCCTTGAGACAGCCCGCCACCGTGCCTGCTGACCCTGAGACTCGTCAGAGGCCCCGCCACCTGACCCGCCAACCGTGGACCCCTCCACCTCTGCAGCCTGCGATCTTACCACCTCGGTCTCACCGGTCCCCGAAGGGAGGCAAGTCAGGAGAAGCCTCCATGCTGAACGCTGAACACTGACTTATCTGATTTAACAGGGACGCGGGACCTGCCCGGGCTTGAGCTTTCCCACTCCCCCGGCGTGCATACGCCGTGTTTCTTGGTAGAGATACTATACACGTGCCTGGATAAGCATCACCGGCTTGGCTTCGCTGGACACCTCAGTCTGGGAGCCGCGTCATGTGACTACCTAGATGAAGTGTCCTGAGTCTCCGCTGAGCACTGACATTCCCCGGACCGGCCCTGCGCTGGGCACGTGCCTCCATCCCCAAGGGCCACCTCGCTGCGCTGGCAGCTCCTCCTGGGCCCCTCCGTGCCCACCGTTCCAGACCTCCGGACGACGAGGGCGTGACCGGAGTCCAGGAGAGCCGAGCTACGGCTGTGGGTTGCCAGGTTGAATGGCAATATTCTGTGGCAGCCACTTAGAGATCCAGAGAGCCAGTGGGTCAGAGAGGCGCCCGCTTGATTATGAGACTAGACAAGGGCAGTAGACACAGAAGAATAAAACACTGAAGCCGGTGGGGGTCAGTGACAGACACCGTTAAGGGCGAGAGAGACCACACTGAGTAGAGGCCGCGTTGCAAAGGCAGAAGACAGACAGAAGCCAGCACAGGCATGCATGTGCACACACATGCACGGACCTTCCAGAAAGGTTGCCACAAAGAAATAGGAGCTCAGAGAGGCTGAGGACAGGCCAACGGGCGTGATGACTGAGACGAGACGGTGCGTCTGGGGCGGCCGGAGCTGGCCAGGAAAGCCACAGACAGACATGGGAGACCCCTGTAGTCACTTGTAGGTAAACATTTGCTGGGCGCTGGCACTGCGCTGCGTGCTAGTGACACTGCCCGACTCTCGCACTGCCCTCCTGGGACTCTCCGTCCAGTGGGGAGAGGGAAAAGAATGATGGGGCACTCAGGTAGGGATGAGGGCTCTAAAAACAAAATCTGTCAGGAGCCATGGCACTGCTGGGACGGAGAGAGGGTGCTCTTAGGGACGGTGGCCAGGAGAAGTCTCTCCACGGAGTCACAGCCTTTGCTCAGAGACAGCCCTGAAGGGACAGCTCAGTCCAGAAGAGGACAGCACTTGGGGGGATGAAGCCAGGAGGGGCACGTCTTGAGCAGGGGGCTGCTTAGGAAAGCTGACGGATCCAGTGGGGGAGGACCGGGAGGGGTGAGGGGCCATTGCACTCGGAGGGTTGGCCAAGGCCAGGCTGCGCAGGGCCGTGCACACCGGCAAAGGGGCTGGTGATTGGGCTCTCAGTGTGACGGGCAGACGGCGCGGGACGAAGAGCCAGATAGACAGATATCCACTAAGCGGAGCTGGACAGCGTGGCAGCCCTGCCCCCTGACATGCCTGCCGACGGCCGCCGCCACCACCAGTGTCCAACTCAGCCCGGGCGTCGGAGTGGAACCGTGTCCCTCAGGGTCCCCGGTGGGACTTCTACCAGTGGGCGCCTCTGGATGGGCCATCTGCCCGACTCAGGGGCTCCAGGCACAGCCAGCCCATCACAGTCCGGCTCTTCCCGCCCGGTCGCTCCGAATCTTCCACTCCGCCGCGTGCTCAGAGCTGACTGCGAGAGTCCCACTCTGCCATCTTAGTTCCAACAAGAACCTCCTGGGAGTGAGGAGTCTGACAGAGACCCGGAGACCCGGAGCTGACAGCAGACCTGGTCACTCCTTTATTGGAAGAGGTATGCACTGTGTCACCCGGTAAGCCTGAGACCCCAACAGGATTTCCAGTTGAAGATTCAGAAGGTTCGCCTTGAGCTCATAGCGGCCCTGGATGAAGCCGCGCGTGTGGCAGCTGCGCCAGCGCCAGTAGGCCTGGATGATGCGGGCGGCGTTGAGCAGGCGACAGTACCGCCTGCGGATGCTCCACATGCGGAAACACGCCTGCACTTTGACGATGGCCTGCTCTTGCCGGGCGTAGTGCTCCAGGGCGTCGTGCCGCCTCTTGGCCAGCACCCTGGCCAGCACGCGCCGCCACCAGCACTGGATGATGTAGGTCCTGAGCGCCGCGTGCAGCAGGGTCCTGCGCACCAGGGTGCCGCGCCACCAGGCCTGGATCTGAATGGCTCCCTTCTCTCTCCTCAGGGCTACCTGTTTGCTCTGCAGGAGTTGCAAGGGCCAAGAGGGGCATTCAGGAAATGCTGCCCGCCTACCTCAGCCCCCAGGGACCCAGGAAGGGACCCTCATCTCCTATCCACAATCGCCCAGTCCTCTGAAATTTGCGAGGGCTGGCAGCGCGCCGACTGGAGCCAGAACTCAAGCTGGCCTCTCCCACATAAGGCTTCGCCCGCTACCCGCCCGGTCCGCAGCCTGCTCGCCACTCCTGCCAGGCCAGGCCCTGACCCACACCC